AATAAATTGGATATTTTGTGATAAAAAAGAACATGTGACCGATAAATTGTAACCAATAAATAATATGGAACAATTTTACTTGTACATCAAAAGATGTAGATAAGGGGCTACACCCCTCTCACATGGGGGGTGGGATCCACTGTATAAAATATTTTTTTATTTAACCGGGTCACATCCCTATGTGAGGGGAGTGTACACTCTTATGTACACTATGATGTACCTATAACAAAGCTCGTTATGAGCAATTGCTCCTCATCACTTCAACATGCTTAATTCTTATAGCATGTTTGGCTAAGCTTAAGAAATAAAAATTATTTTCAATTTTGATCAATAGAAAAATATTTATTTTAAATAAACTATTTATGCATTAATAAACTTTAACTGAACTTTTTAACCAAACATTCTTTAACGCTTTTGTTGTTCTTGAAGAAATTTAAACTTGTAAATTGTTCAAAGGCATTCTAGATATTTCAGAGCATCGATACTTGAAGCAAGCTGTGAAGCTTTTAAGTAACCCAGTTGAGGTTAGAGGTAGTAATTGTTGGTTAATGGAAATGAATAATGTTATTTATCATTATAATGATGTGATATTGATGATGTGGTAATCTATGTGGAATAATGTGATTGAACAGTTCAATTTTTATGATAAAGGGGGAGGAGAGAGAAAGAAATGCGGGAGATAATGAATTGTTACATCACTGATATTATATCATCATGAAGAATTGATGATAAATAACATTACTCGAAATCAAGGCATCATTTGATCATTCAAGTTGCAAAATCACGGTAACACATAGTATCTCAAGATTCGAAGATTTTTTTTATTTGCTTTTGTCAAAGTCTCGACTTCTTTATATATTTCTTCTTGTTTAAGTGTAATTTAATTTGACCTCTTGTATGCTCGTCTAGTGCTTTGATTATCTTATAGTAGCCATTTACACAAAACGAGTATAGTGACTATTGTGTATTCACTTGTGGAAATAAGATAATATATTTTGCCTGTACAAATTGGATAAACCAGTTCAATTTTATGTGCATGTTGATTCAGGTAATATTGTTAACCCGAGTTTTAGATTTTCCCATTACTTTATGCAATGGTAGCACTTTCCTATTGGATTTCACATCAATGTTTTCTCGATTTCTTCGTGCTCTTCAAATGCTTCGTAGCTACATTCTATGGGTAAATCATATGGAAATTTACCTCATCAAATTCAGTCAAAATTAATATTTTATTTTGACTTCTATTTTAGGTAACATTATAATCTTTAATGCACGACACATTAACGTTACTTTGAAAAAGACAATTTTTGCATTGCACGAGCATGAAACTAGTTACCTAAAATACAAACAATATTCTATGCAGTGCATTACCAGTAATATGAAAATTAGATCATAATGTTATCAATTTTTTATCCAATAATATGAATACCAAATAGAAGTCAATGCTACACTTTCCAAAGTTCCCCTTTCATGATAATTGAACATTCAATGATCACTTTATTACTTTAACCACTTGATTAAATATTTAATTTCATTAATGTACAAGCTTACTTTTAGAGATTTCCACTAATTTCACCCAGCAAAAAATTAAAATTCTGTTTTTCCTCAATACCATAATTAACATCTATGCAATATATTTATGATTTCATTTTAATTTGAAGTCAAAATCAAATATTAAGTTTGTTACACATTCACAATTATTATCTACTTATTATTTACATATTTCGAAGAATTTATTTTTTCTCGATTTCACTATAATTTGTTAACAAACTATATGCCTGAATATATTTTCTTAAATTCTTTAATTAATCCTTTATTTTCACAATTAAAAAACATTTAAAAATAATAATTTCGAGTACCAATCAATTAATTTTTGTCACGAGTATGTTTGGCTAATTTTTTAAAAATTAATTATGAGTAATTCTTTAGTTTAAAAAAAACTTAAGTAATAAGTAATTTTTAATAATTAAAATAAAAAAAAAGTTAAATTACTAATTTTGACAAACATGAAGCAGCCCAATCTCTCCAACTCAAACCCATAGTTTGTAATTATGACTATAATCATCATCAAAGAACAGAAGGGAGGAAAAGGAAATAATTCCATAACCAGTTCAACCTCTCCCCAACAGAAATCCTCTCTGCATATATATAAACCAAGAAAACCCAAACCCAAAACCCACACGAACACAAGTTACACATACATTTAAAGAATTACAATCATAATACACTTATAACAGTAATAGGGTTTTAATTATAATCAAATTGTTGAATTGAAATTGATTAGGAAATTTTTTATATTTAGGATTGTTAAATGCAAGTGGCGGTGGATTTCAATTGGTTCCTGCAATTCATAGTTGCACCATTCTTGGTGGCTTTTGGGTTGCTCCAACTTCTGAGAAACTCCGCCTCCAAGTACTTCGTTGTCGACAACAATTTTGAGTCGGATTACTCGTTCGATCGCAACAAGTGGAAGATGGCGGTCGCCGATCGTTGCATCGTCTGTGAAAGTAGAACCGCGAAACAATGCGCTGGTTGCAAGATGGTCAAGTACTGGTACGCAACATGCACATGGTTTATGGGTTTTATTTAATTTTGTCCATATGTATTGGGTTTTCATGTTGCTGATTTTTATACTCGTTGTTTTCATTACGGGATATCGTTAAACTTGTTCACGTGTCTATTCAATGGAATTATTTATTTTTTTAATTTTTTTTTATCTACCCTGTTTTTGTAAGAACTAGTTAGTTGTGTAATGCTAATGTTTTCTACCTTGTGCTTGAAAGTCTGTACATTGTTAAATTTTCTTTCGGAATGTTAGTTTACATGTAAGGTCATCATACGTTCTCCCACTGAATATATTGGTGCATGTGTGTGTGTGTGTATGGGGAACGTTTAAGGAATTCATTAACCTAGTAATGCAAATATGTTGCTCCTGACAAGGAATAGAACCCTTCTAGTCACGATAACTGCTGATCAAGTGTTCCCAAAATGTTAAATATTAATTGATACTCTAGCTTCGATGGAGGTAATGAATTTCATAAATTCACATTTAATAACAGAATATTCAGGTACTCAAACACGCACCAGAGGAAGCCTATGCCAAGCTGTTATTTTATCTCTGTGATGTCACGATTGTTTGTTAGGTTTAAGTATTAGTTGTCATGTATGGGACTACTTTGCGAAGTGGAATGCAGACTGCTGATGATAATTGAGATTATTCAGCGACAGTCTAGTTGCTGCTTTATCTTTTATTCATTTAAACGAACAAGTAGGTTTAATGCCTCATTGCACATCAACTTACATCTAAATTCACAAAGAAATAGGCATCTGGTTCTTTTTCTTCATGTCAAAGAATGATTGGCCTGTTGATAAATTTCTCATCATTGATTTATTTCATTTTTTTTATTCAAATAAACTTTTTTTTGTTTGTGTAAAACATTGTATGGTGCATGATAAATTTCCTGTCACTTGTTTATTTTATCTTTACTTGAAAAAAATGCGGAAAAATATTCTAATACTCTGAATTTATTCAAGTAAATATGGCTAATGTGCTCACATTCAACTCTAACGGGTGGTCGTGTGAACATACCCGTGTGCTTAATTGTGTGAGTAGCCCGTCATGTCTGGTGTATATTAGATGGCTTGTGGTTTTTAAGAACCAGCAGGTTTAGGCTGACTCAATACTTTAATGTATACAATGGGGGCCTTCTTGTGTAATAGGACGCTAATCTTATTTGGGTTTAGAATTAATGTTAATTGACCCCTTTATAATTCCATGAAGAAGTTTGAGGAGAATTAAAATCAGTGTAATGGGTTTCTAACCTCCAAACTATATTCTTTATAGCCTAAGACAGACTAAAAGAAGATAACTGCATTCTTTATTACATTCAGGCTATCTCTCTATATCTACTTTCCTAACTGGATGACCCCTTAAGATTTTTGATGTAAAAAATGCCTCCGTGCTTTCATCAATGTCTGCTATTGCTCTTGGCTTGTGCAGTTTGTTTCTTTGTCTCATCGCTCCTTTTTCCAAGTGCTGTTTTCTTTGAATTACTTTAGATTCACTAGAAAAGAGCATAAAAGTTCCTTTTATATTATGATGCTTATTGTTTTAACTTTACTTCTGAAATTCTAGCTCTGAAGCTTGCCAAAAGTCTCACTGGTCTGAACACAAGAAGAAATGCAATGATTTACAATTGTCTCGTAAAGCTAATTCTATGCAATCCACATCTATTTTGAGGGGGAGAAATGCTTCATTGGTTCCTACCAGTGGGAGCTCCAAGATTTTCAAGCACTCGAAAGAAGTAATTGACTCTCTAGTTCTATATACTCTTTGTATGGAAATATTACTGATTCAACTCTGACAAATTCTGCTGCATTAATGTTTTCAGATACTTTTCCCTTATGAGGAATTTGTGGAACTTTTTAATTGGGAAAAGCCTGGTTTTCCTCCTTGTGGACTCATAAATTGTGGAAACAGGTTTGGTTTAGTGATTTTATCTATTCCTTAAGAACTGTTTTCTAGCTTGTTCATTGATCTTTGAAATCTCAAATACCCATATTCTGCTCCCCCTTTCTCCTCTGCAGCTGCTTTGCTAATGTGGTTCTCCAATGTCTTGCTTATACCCGGCCACTTGTTGCCTACTTGTTGGAGAAAGGCCACCGTAAAGAATGTAATTACATTGACCTAAAAAACTCATCCAACATTTTTAAATAATGACTCATTCATATTTATTGTTGGACACTCCTTATTTTCTGCATTTACTTTTACATGTCCCCAGGTCTGCATGATGATTGGTGCTTTCTGTGTGAATTTCAATCTCATGTTGAAAGGGCTAGCAATCTGCAACCATTTTCTCCAATTAACATTCTATCACGATTGCCTAATATTGGTGGTAATCTTAACTATGGGAAACAGGAGGATGCTCACGAGTTCATGAGGTTCTTATTACTTGAGTCACATCTGATTTTGATTTACATACTATTCGTGGCTTTTCAGAGTCTTAAGAAAGTGTTATGAACCCATTTCTTTATTTTACTATGTTATATAACTAACTCAGTTAGGTACAATTCAATGTTTTGTAGGTTTGCTATTGACACAATGCAAACTGTGTGCCTTGATGAATTTGGTGGAGAAAAGGCAGTTCATCCTAGATCCCAAGAGACCACCCTTATTCAGCATATATTTGGCGGTCACCTTCAATCTCAGGTCAAATTAGTTTTGCTAGAGTTTTGCTCTATTTTTATTTCATCTCCCTCCTTCCCTCTATCCTCGTTCCTCTCTCTCCCCTTCTGTCTTATTTTTGTTTTCTTTTTTCTTTACCTTCCCAGGTTATCTGTACAAACTGCAACAATGATTCGAACCAGTTTGAGAACATGATGGATTTAACTGTCGAAATTCATGGTGATGCTGCAACTTTGGAGGAATGTTTGGACCAGTTCACTGCCAAAGAGTGGCTACATGGGGATAATATGTATAAATGTGATAGGTAACCATTCTTTCTTATAGCATGGATTTACCTTATATTTATTTTCATTCTTTCGGATAGTGAATTTCCAGCCCCATCCTACCTATAATCTATACACTCGACTGTTCTCATTTGTATCTGCTTTCCTTGACCTGGTAGTTCCACTAATTTTACAGGCATGGAGGAATCTAAATATTTCATTAACTTTATAAAAGATGCAATGAACAAACTAAATCTGCTACTGTCACAGAGCTTTTGCCTTTTTGCCAAGTACAAGTGTCTAGGTTCTGTTTGGCAGCACTAGAAGCATATTGTTGCATAACTTCTTTTTCTTCCTATCTTTAGTTTCTCTGTAGATTGATACAATTCTTTTTTCTTTGCAATTTAATTTTGTATCAAGAAGGGATGCTTTATGCCAAATTTGTTTTAGTAGAAAATACCCTTGCTTTGACATAATTTATTATAGGCAGTGTACACTTTATGGCCATTTTCTGTGCTTCTCTTGTCCCTTCATCAGTAACATTGACATACTGGAATGGATCCTGCCTGCAGATGCAATGATTATGTCATGGCATGGAAGCGCCTTGTGGTCCGGCAGGCACCCAACATTCTTACAATTGCCTTGAAAAGGTTTCAGGTTAGTTCTTCATTCCCATTTTACCTTTATTTCCAGCTAATTAATATATGTAGAACTAATTTTTTATGGAAACATTCACTATGCCATACTATGGGTATGTGAGTTTCAGATCTGAATGCCTCCGAATGGATTAGTGCCTAGGTGCACCCTAAAAGTTTTTTTGGTAGAAACAGACTTGATTTCTTTTGACACCTAAAAGAACAGCAGTTTCAGGTTGTTTACCTGTTTGAGTTAAATTTGTGACACCTGAAGCCGATAGTTTATCAATTGCTGAACATATTCCCATTTAGTAGCTATCATTGAAAATGCACTTAATTTTACCCGTTTCTTCTTCAACAATTACTAGTAAACGGCATTCTTCAAAGGATAAGTGCATCTAGTCAGGCTGATAGTTTAAATGGATATTTTACTAAGTATTATAATTTGAACCGATTTACAAATTTCTCATTGGTGTTAGATGCTTGAGGTAATTCCTTCTACTTCTGTAATGAAAGACATGGCTTTTTATTTGATTATAAATGAACTGAAAACTTCAATCAGGGGAAATTCACTTCACTGTTTATTTAGTTTCTGAGGGATGTCTTTTTCTGGTGCAGAGTGGGAGGTTTGGTAAACTCAATAAGAGGGTGACATTCCCGGAGACTTTGAATCTGAACCCTTACATGAATGAATCAGATGGCAATGATGTTTACAAGCTATATGCAGTTATTGTCCATGTGGACATGTTAAACGCATCATATTTTGGCCATTATATATGCTATGTCAAAGATTTTTGTGGAAACTGGTACAAGATTGACGATTGCAAGGTAAAAATCTCTATTTGTGCATGCATTTACATTTATCCTCGTGTGTCTGCGACTCTGCAAAGTGCAAACACTTTAGCACCGGCATCATGAATTAAACACTGGTCTTTGTAGCATGTGCAACAATGTCTCATATATGTCCTTGTGATCTTTGTCTCAGTGTACCTCAAATGTGATTGTTATGATTTGTGCAAACAAGTTGTATGATATAGGAGTCTTAAGTCAATATTTACTACTCCCCTGTCCTGTCCCCATTTTAGTTTTTGGGATGTTAGGAGGTAATGTCCTCTTTCTTGATTAGACAACTGTTCTCCAAATAAGTAATTTTCTTTAAATGGGATATAAGTGCACGTGATGTCTAGGAAACTGCATATTTTTTTGTCATTTTGTAGTATTTTCAATGAACAATGACCCAAACAAATTGTTTTATTGCAAGTTTTGATGTTCCAAAACTCACTTATACTGTGGTTCCTGCTTATGGTACCTTTTGCCCCTTTTCTGATGTTCACACTGGCAATTCCAAATAAAATTTAGCCTAAAGGAATATTACAAATATATTTCTTGCATGTTGGGGCATCTAACCGCGTTTCCCCCCATGATATGCTCTACTGATAAGCACTGATGGGACATGTTCGAATTGAACACTCAAAATGTATACCTGTTTTCTGGTTAAAGTTCTACTTCGAACGGGAGAAGCAATTCTTGGAAAATTGCACTGCATTTTTGAAAGAGACAATAGCATTGCAATGCCATCTATATTCTTTTCCGCACATTCACTTCATTTTCCTTATTTTTCCTTCAATTCACATTCCTTATTTTTCCTCTCAGGTTGTTAGCGTTGATTTGGATGAGGTGCTTTCACAGGGAGCTTATATGCTCTTGTATAACAGGTATCTCTCTTATTCTAGTGCTCTTATTCGCAGACCACTTCAAAATGTAAAAAATTTCATCATTTTATTTTTCAGAAGTTGCTTATCCTTTATAAATGGTACCTCTTCTTTTCTGAGAATTCCCAAATATCCACATTTGCAAAATATAGAAGCTTCTCTTAAATCTCCGCCGTCTTTGTGCGGATAACCTAAAACAAACAAACAAAAACGAAAACTGTATCAGAACCACTAATTTTACAGAGAACAGGATATTCATTGTCCAACATCTAAAGTATCTCGCCCACCCCTAAAAAGTAAACCCAAACGAACACCTCAAAATATTTTTAGCATGTTTGGTTAAGCTATAAGGTGCTTATAACTTGCTCAATTGTGTGACGTTGAGATTAATTTAGTTAATGCAACACATAATCTGGGTTTGGGTAAGTTACAAGGTGCTTTTAATATGCTCAATTGTATGACTTCCAGATTAGTTTAATTAATGCAACATATAATCTGGGTTCATGGTCAGATGATGGAGTTGAACAGTAAAATGCTCCATTTAAAGAGTGAATCCTTAAAATTAAGCTCCAACAACCTCTTCAATTTAACTTTTTAATATAGATTGTTGGTTTGACTCTCTAGATTTGGAGCTCTGTATTTTTATTTTATAATGATTGAATTTAATGAGTTGCAAGTTGCGTTGCTCTTCCTGGATAATTTAAACCATATTTAATTTTTTTAGCCTTGGTCATCTAAAAAGCATAAAGAATGGACCATGTGCATCACTGACATGGATGGAAAAGATGAAAGTAGACACTGTTGAAAAAGAGCACTCATGTCATTGTCATGGGAGATAAATGTCAAAGGAGACTTTAGGGAGTTTCTTTAAACCAACAAATCAGTTTAGCACACAAGTCCAATGGCACGTCAAATAAATGTACAGTATGAAGAGAACTTTCTAAAGAACAACTAAAAAAAAAGTATTACTGCTCTTAATTTCAATAAGAGCAGAGATGTACCTAACTTGCAAAGTCTTAAAAGATTGAAGTTATGAAATAATCTCCGAGACATTGTTAGATATATATACAGGGGCGGAGCCAGCCCTTCAAACTAGGGGGTCCCGGAGTTGAAGGGGCGGGGGCTCACCGGGGTTCTGTTAAAATGAGGAAAATTGGTACTTTGTGATGGAGAAATGAAACAGATGAATATAAATTAATGTACGAAAACTTTACAAAAAAATCAAGAAATGACCCCCCTCCCCTCCGCCCCTGTATATATACAAGGATTATGCGGCCCCTTAATTTTTTATTTTCTTGAATCGCCATTTGCTATTTGTTGGTCATATCTTATTTAATAGCTGACTAGCCAATGGCGCTGTCTTTAATAGCTAACTTAAGTGGTATATAATGGTCTTTTTTGTTGTTGCTTTCGACAGGAGCCGTGCTCGCCCATCATGCTTACTTCCTGCTGAATCTACAAGGAAAGCAAAGGAAGAAATGAAAATGGAAGTACATCCATCACCGAATCAGCCTGCTGAGTGCTTCTCTCCAGTAGGATGTCTCGATAGTCCTGTTGATTCTGGACCATCGGCAACTGTTAATTGTTCAGGGTCAAATATTGCAAAGGGTGACGAAGACTTATCATCTTCAACTGATCCTGTAGAAGCTAGAGGGGATATGGAGATTGTGGATTCTGGAGCAAGTACGTTAATTGTCAAGGATGTTGAACGTTTATACAGTAATGGATGCTTTGATTCACCTGAAGAAGTTGATTCTATTGTTGAACATGCTTATCAACCAGCCACTGGGAATATTTCAGTGATTTGTACGAGTTCTACTCAATCTGAAGCTCACAACATTAAACCATCCTTCCCCATGTCTGATGTTGAGAATGAAAGTGGGGGCAGCAAAACTGTGAACGAAGGTTTGTCGGCAAGTTTGGGTAAAGATTATTCCAATATTCAGAACCATACCTCCCAGAAAGGCAATGAAGCAGATGATGTGTCAGCTATGGCGTTTTCCAGTGACGGTGTCCACGAAGAATTGAACTCTACTAATTTAATATCTATGCTTCAGATTGCCAAGTCTGAAAATAATATATCTTCCCTTCATGATATTCAAGCCGTGGCAAGGAAATCTAATGGCGGGATTTATTCTGGAGCAAAGTTGAATCCACATCTTGCTCCTGGTTTTCTTGGCAAACGCCCACGAAATATGTGTGTCAAGCAAGAAGGTGTGAGTGAACTGGCGTCCAATAGTCACCTGAATAGTCAAACAAATGGGATTGTCAAGCCCCATTTAACACGTCAAAAGGGTTATTTGTTGCCAGATGAGGAGAAACATTATTCTGGCCGAATCTATTCATCTAATAATTTGGATGGGCAAACTGGGATGTTTGACAATGACACTAAAATGGCCTTCGGTGAAGCTGATATGTCTATAAGCTTACTTAGTGGAGTTGCTAGCGATCCAATAATATTTTGCAATGGAACCAAAATTGACAAAGCCAATGAAAGGCTAAGGGTAGGAGGACAAAATCTGATTTATCGTGGCAAATCCTAATGCTAATAGAGGTAGAAACTTCAAATGAATTGGAAGGCTCGTGAGGTTGACAAAGCGATGAAAGAACACTTATATCTGTACCTCTTAGTTTTGCAAGTCTCGATTAGAAGCTTCGGACAAGGGCTTGAACCTCGCAAGTGCTGTCTGCAGGAAATTATGTTAACATAGTCCCGTCAAAGTTGGAGATTACTTATGGTGCTGGTGGCTGAACTGCTTAATTGTGCTTTCGATGTTTTGCTGAATCAGATAATTATCAAGTGCTAAATATTAGTGGATAATATTTCATAATCAATTCTGGAGTAGCATTCTTTTCCTGTTTATATTATTTGATGTTTCATCACCCTAAGTGGATGTGATGAGATTTTGTCCATGGTTTCGATGTTTACAGAAATCGTGGATGCTCTTTGTACCTGTTTAACTTGGACTTCTTCAAATGAAAGGAATAACCTTATTGCTCAGTTTTGGAACTTCCAGTATTTAGTTTCTAGGACCCCATATTGGAATGTTGCTTACTGTTTATAATTTAAAATCACGACTGCAGTAGTTTTCTCCAGTGTTCTAAAACATCCGTCTAGGCACGAAGCTCGGACGAAATGCAACGAGTGCCTACTGCCTAGTGCTGCTGTATTATTTTTTTTTTCCTTTTTTCAAAAGCTTTTTATTTGATTTTAGTTTCAAATTTTTAAATGATACAAAAGTAAAAAATAAAAACACTTAAGAAAATTTCAAGTAGGAATTGTTTAATTGTAAGTTAAAACTATGCAAAATAGTGTAGTCTTTGCATTTCAAAAACTTGAAAATTAAGACCTTGTTTGATCCTCATTTTGATCAAAATACATTTTTCTCTATTTTTTTCAACTACACATTCTTTAATAAAATAATATTATACACAACTCAAAAACATTTTTTTTTTAAATTTTTAACTACACATTTTCCATCAATCTACTATTTTAAAATGTATTCTACACAAAAAAATGGGGCTCAAACCGATCCTAAATAATTGACTAATTGTAGAAATTATTAAGTAAATATAGTATTTTATGATTTTAGATGTTTGATATATATTATTTTAATTATCATATGATTTTTAGAATATTATTTTATAATTTTAGATGTTTGGTATATATCATTTCAATAATTAAATGATTTTTAAAATGATTAAAAATTTAAAATAATTTAAAAAATAAGAAAACGTTTTTTTTACGCTTAAACTCTTAAAACTTGAAGTTTAGCCTCCACGCCTTATCATGCCTTACGCTGTTTAGAACATTGATTTTCAGTAAATTTGTGGCTTGTTTGGTAAGTTATACATTAGATCAGTTGGGAGTGTTGGATAATGTTTAGTGTTGCATACCAGTATGTCGTTTTAGTCTAAGTTGAGAGAGATGACTTAGCTATGATATTGATAGTGAAATGGAGATTTCTCCAACTTTAACTTCAGGCGTGTCAATTTTTTCTTGAACGTGCCCTTCAGGTAACACAACATTTGAATTTTTACATTTGTGGTCTAGTTGGATAGTAAAGATTCAGTGATTTTGGCCAACCACACCTCAATATTGGACCAACAAATGTTTTTGGACCTGCTCGTATTCTCCCGAGCTTGCAGGATTCACATGTCGGATCATGAGTTCCCCTTCTTATCATCAGTTATTTGTGACGATGTTTGGAACCATTCGGTTTCGGTTCGGTTCGGTTCGGTTCTGTTCGGTTCCGTTTGGTTCCGTACTATAATTAAATTTTTTTAACATTTAAAATAATACTACATAAATACACCTGAAAGTGGATACCAATAATAATAACAAAAAGTAGATACAAATACCAAGTTCAATCTTAACTTTTACAAATTAACGTAATCTAATTTAATAACATATAAATAATAAGTTGTCAAATACAAATATCAAAAAGTAAATATTACTAACAAAACTTCGATATTCATATCAATAATTCATTTGCTTCAAACCTTCAAATCTACATAAAAGTGAAATATAAATTAGAAGTCACAAATATAAAATATTTTAAAGTATTGATAATACTTACCAACTATTTAATGTAATTATTAGTTGGTTGACTTTCCATACTAACTATTAAGAAACTATATAAGAAAAAATTGAAAAAAACACAACTAACAAACATAAATAAACTCTAAATTGTTCAACTAATAAGATTTAATAAGAAAAAAATTATTAATTTGTTTAGAAAAAATAAAAGAAATTAATTTATCCAATATAAAAAAAAAAGTTCGGTTCTTATTCGGTTCTTCGGTTCTTGGTCGAGAACCGAGAACCGAACCAAACCATTCGGTTCTCAATTCGAATACCCGTTTGGGTATTTCATTTTAAAAAACCCGCTCGGTTCGATTCAATTCGGTTCGAACATTTTGCCCACCCCTACTCAAAACCTCTATAATTCTCCAGGGATTTTTATGAAGTACGGTTTGTTAGGCAGACTTTGTATCTCTGCATTTTCTGTTCCTCTGTATTGAGCTTCCAGAAATTGTTCCAGAAGTACTTTTCTCAGAATTACATTGCGAAACAGCTTTGATTTCAGCGGCGCAAGCATTGGAATTGAACTCTTGATAATGTGCAGTGAAGGGAGCTTGAGATCAATCACCCACTCCTGCCCAATCTGCATTCCATATACTTGTCTCTATGTGCATGAGCCTCCACGGATAGTGCACTCCGTGTTCTTTACAGTTCTTGAACTCTCTAATGGGAATTCGATCCACGTAGAACCTGAAATCACATCAAAAAACATACCTTTAATGGTTTCCTTATAATCCCCCCATCAAGCTAGCACGGAAAGTAATAATTATGCAGTTTGCACGGATCTCAGTACAAAGTAATACTATTCGGCCCCAATGGTGTTAAGTACTTGTCTATGTGGCACATGGGTCCCTTGCGTTCAATTGGTTAATGTAAAGAAGTTGCAATTTTCAACTAATTGAATACAATAGACCCCAATATTTTTTAACCAAACCGAAATCATAAATATGTACGTTTTCATGTAATGTGCTCATATTTTTTAGCCAAACCGAAATCATAAATATATATTTTTCCTTCATATTTTCTTACCCGGTTACATATACAGATTTAAGCTACATGCATATATATAAATAGACGCGCGCGCACACACACACATCAGATTTGATCTCCTAAGTACCATTTGACATGTCACATTATAATAGGTAATGTAATTAGTTTTGTAACAAATCATTATCTCCCACCACCTCCGTGAGAATATTGAAATCATATATTTACTTCCCAAAATTAAATTGAAGTTCAAAATGTACCAATTGGAAGTAGTTAATGTGTTGGAGGGAAAACTCTTTTTAATTTGTCTCACATAAAAATATGGACAAGACAATGACTAAATTATATATGATCACATTTTTGTAAGGTGTAATCTTTTGTAACGTAGATGCTTTTTCCACATGTACGTGCACAGGGTGCAAAATACGGACCGGATTAGCACCTTGAACCGTTGAACTTGTGTACGAAAGCAACCTGCGTACACAAATATCACACTGAAATTGGTTCCTTAGAATGTCCACGTTTTGCCTTTATTTTCTATATTTTTTTTTTCTTTCAATTGACTTTCCAACTTCTAAACTCTTGAAACTCAAGAGTTTATTGCCTTTAATGGGAAGATTAAAAAGCCGATTAATGATGATGTTAATGGTTGTAACACATGTAACCGCAGGTCTCTTAAGTTAATCATTAGAGCCTTTTATATAGGTCATTTTTTCTTTATTCCACACGAAAGTTTTCATCACTTTCTTTTGTCAAGAGTTTTGGAGATAGCACCGATCAAATTTAGTTTGTCGGTGTAGAAACTTTAGTGATCAGTTTCAAGTGATTTCTCTATTTTGTCTAGGAGTGTTGTGTCTTGGAGATAGACGTTCGAATAAAACTCAAGCATTTACGGTGAGGGAGTGAAGCTATTTCAAGGACACTAAATAATACGTAGGCCTCCATTTGTATATCTGTTCACCTTTTTATCCATTACTTCGTGCAGTTTATGATTACCTGTTATGTTCTTTCTGTGATTAATAAAATATATTATTCTGCAGTATTTTTTTTTCTAACGTTATGCTCCTTTATGGACTTTATATATATAGGATTGGTTATATGATAATATGAAGATCCCATTAGGTAATGCAGTCAAGCTTAAAATAATTAGGTGACAATTAATCTTTGTCCCAAGGTGATTAAATATGTGAATAAGTACCCAAAGTGTAGATATTAAAAAGTTTTAAATAAACGTTAATGTGCTTTTCAAATATGGGAAGATTTCTCATTTTCTACAACGACCTAGACTCTGGTCCCAAGCCTGCTCAAATCATGAAGAGTGCAAAAACTCCAAAATTATATTCCTACAATACAACAAATTTTGATTATTATAATAATAATCACTAATACTAACTAGTCTGAATAACAAAAATCTAATTTCAATATTCAAATAATTATTAATAATAAACAGTAATATATAATTTTCTATCTATATATAGCCACCATTGAGGACGAGTATTGTCAAGTTTGGGGTTGTAAGTTATTTAGCTTGTTTTTGCGTGAGATTTAACCATTAAAAAAAAAAAAAGAAGAAGAAAAATTGAAATTTTGAAAAATCGAAAAATATTTTCTTTCTATATGTGTAATAGTATGAATTAGATAACCTTGTTAGCTAATTATGAAATAATTTGAGATTTGTTAATGAATCATGATTTGTGATTAGGTGTCATGATAATCAACATATATCATTGGATTGAGTATATAATTAAATGAACTTATGTTGAACAATCAAGATCATAATTGATAAAACAACCACAATCATTTGAAAGGACTAGTTTGTAGATAGTTGATCCTGGGTTGGAAGCTATTGAGATAGGTATTGATTCCGTACTTATTGAATATTCGTGAGGGGTATTTTTTCTAACTAGTGAAATCTAGGTATTAATCATAAATAGGATTACTTGTTCCAAAAAATGAGGTATCGAACTAGCCGTGACATGTAGAAAAAGTTACCTATGTTGTATAGCAAGATTTTAGTAACAAACCCCATTCATCATCAATGTTTGCACGACGATCCGCCAAAAAAAGGCTGCTACAGTGTAATATGAAAACTATCTTGAAAAACAAAAACAAAAAACGGGACAAGGTTAAAAAAATAAGGAGAAACGCATCAAAAGTGTGTTGAGGCAATGACAAAATAACTATGAATCCTATTTTTCTCCAACTAAGACTTGGACAATTACTTTGGGTATCTAGATTTCTAGTGAGGTCATCAACCTAGTTGAAGCATGGAGTTGTGACATTCAAATCGAGAGAGGATCATCACATATTGGAATAGTTTCTTTCATTAGAGAAATCGAATCAAACTCGAGTGGAAAATAAATTAGTGCCATCAAATTAACCTTATAATAAACATTCCAATCTGAGAGATTGAATAATAAATTTGGGAGTACGCATCCCATTAGAGATAAATAAAATATTTGACTATCGAGGATCAAACCAATATAAAAGTTTATGGTGATCGAATTGACTATGTACACACATGTAAATTGAGCATTGAACAAGCGAAAAATTATTTTGGTAGTTGTACTTATGAAATTTTTATAAATTATTAAACAATTTCAATACTTGAGTTGAATACGACAAGCCATCTAATGCATTTATTTCACTTATTATGTTTGCTTATATGTCAATTAGATAATCTTGTTGGGATTTCTAAACTTGATGAAGTTGCGAATCCAGATTTCTGAACTTGATGAATTATGATTAAACTGAGTGAATATCTACCTAATTTAATGTACATATGTTACTTGTAAGAAAAATTCCAACTTGAATGCAACAGTGCCAAAAATTGTTGCTCTAAAATCTTGCAAGTGAACTGTATGATAAATAAATAATAAGGTGAACGTGAGTCCAAGTATCGATCCCATGAGGACCAAGTATTTAATTTAGTTTTAATTAAATCTAAACTTAATCAAATAACAAGATTGGTTGGTGGATTATTTATATTAACAACTTAAACCTACAACACATCTAATTACCAAACTAATCTAACTAAAGCGAAGAGCTTATGAATACTCAATTAATGAACATGCACTAGGAATTCCAATCCCTCTAAATTCATCCATCTTAATATCAATTCTAATATTTGACAACGCTTATTCGAACTTGAAGATCGATATTCCTAATTGTTTAGTAGTCTCTCTTGAGTAAAATTAAACATATCCTCATGTATGACCTTATATCTTTATAAAGGATGCAAACATATAAAGATGCTGTTGGAAAAAAATGAGATATTGGTTGACTTTGACATGAGTTTTAAGTGGGACCCGTTTAGCTTTTTTGGAAGATAAAGATTGATTTGTGTTCTCCTCCAAGAGTATATCGAAATCATATATTTATTTGTCAAAATTGATGCTCGGGTGAATGAGAAATTGAAACTCAAAGTGTGCCACTTAAAAGGAGTTTATGTTGCTAGAAACATTAGAAATGTGTTTGTCCCACATAAGAAGTGGATGAAAACAAAAATCACTTTAAATATGGTTGCATTTTAGAAGGGTGTAATCATGTATAGTATAGAGGCTCTCTCCACATGCGCTCGTAGGAGGGGTGCAAATCATGGACCGAAATAGGTTTCGGACCTTGAACTTGTGTGTGGGGCGCGACCTGCGTACATTAATGTCGGACCGAAATGAGCAAAATTGATCCCTTAGAAGTGTCCACGTTTTGCTACATTTTTATTTTATTCAATGACTTTTCATTTTCTGAAACGGTTGAAACTCTTGTGGTACGAGTCTTGGTGGTAGTATTGTTCAGACACTAAATCATTTCGCCGAAGTAGTCTCTGTGGTGCTCAGTGTCTACCAGTTTTACCGTTGTATCTTGGGAAACAGACGCTCGATTTAAACCTCAAGTATAGACGGTTAGAGTGCGAATCTGTTTTAAAGAAACTGTGTGTAACACAGGCCTCAGGTTAAAAGGCTTTCTTCCAATTCAAATGTTTCCTGTCCGAAAAATGAATCTCAGGTTGAAGGTAAAAATCTGGAGTATAACTTATTCGGCTGGAAATTGATTTGTTAAAATATTTCAATTATATTTCACTCATTTGACCTCCAATTTGCATCCAATTGATCCTATATGATCTTCAATCATCGTTTTTTTTTTTTTTTTTGCCTGAATTAATTATTGAATGTTTACACTTTGGTCTCTAAACTTTGAATTTCTTTCGTTTTTGCCCATTTTCGTTCATTTCTTCCAATTCCACCAATTTGCATTGAGTTCAACCTAACAATCATAATTAACATGTAATTAAGCTATAAATCATCAAAATCACTAACAAATACTCAAATTTAATGATTTAAATAAGTGTGCAAAATATACTTTTCAGGAATAACGACCTTATTGCTCAGTTTTGGAACTCGTATTATTATTTTCTAGGGCTCCATATTGGTATATTGCTTACTGTTTATATTATCCATTGTAGTGTTAGATTATATTCAGTGTTGAGTACTAAGTATGCCGTTTTAGTGTAAGTAGAGAGTTACGACTACGAGCTATGATATTCAAAGTGAAATGGAGATTTCTCCAATTTTAACTTTAGGTGTGTCCAATTTTTTCTCGAAATGCACTTTAGGTAATACAACATTGGAATTTGTACATTTGTTGTTAATAATCAGTGATTTTGGCCAACCACATCTATATATCTCATCAAACTCAAATTGGACCAACCAATATTTTGGAATGGAACCTCTTTGCAATGAATAAGAAATACATGGATTCTAATGAGCTTGCAGGATTTGTGTCTGCTAGAGGGTACATTGTAATCCCCTCTTCTTATCATCAGTGTTTTTTTGTTTTTTTTGCTGGAAGCACAGGAGGTTTGAACAGACATGGGAGGAAAACATGGTGTCAGATGGTCAATTAAACTCATGTTTACTTACCTTAGTTGGCATTTGGATACTGTCATTAAGGCTGGTATTATGTGAAGAGCTATAGCATTAATTTAAATGTATGCATCGCCTGGGTAAATATTGATATCTTGTTAGGTAGAATTTCTTTGTGAACAGAAAATTTTGTAAATATTAGTGCTCTCATTTGAGATTCTTGAAATCACATGCATATTTAAATCAAGATTTTTCATATCCTAATGTGTTTGCAGGTTTCGTAACTTTTGTTTAGTCAATATTTTAGTAAATTTCATTAATTTTGTTTAGTCAATATGTTAGTATATTTTATAAATATTACGTGATACTGGTCTCAATACAACAAAAAATGATGTGTCAATTCATTAATACTAAGGTCTACTTTTCATTTGTCCCACAATACTTCATTAATACTCGTCATTCATGAAAGTTATGGCATTTATTTGAATGTTATCCTAGATAATATTGAATTCATTTTAGGTAGAGTTTTGTTGAGGACCAATTATTTTCAAAATGTTAGGATCTGTTCTCTTTACCATTTTCAAATTGTTTTCTGTTTTCGATTTTTCAAAGCAGTTCCAGCACTAGCAATAAATATCACTATTCCTTGATAACTAAGGCCCTGTTCTCTTTACCGTTTTCAAGTCGTTTTCTGTTTTCGATTTTTCAAAACAGTGAAAACGCGTTCTCTTTCCTATTTTCGAAAACACGTTTTTGAAAACAAGTTAAAAATTTACAAAGAAAACTCAAAACGATGTTTTCCGTTATAATCAAGCCAAAATTTTAAAAACGAGTTTTGGGTGTTTTCAAAACAATTTTTCAAAACGCCAAAAAAAACACATTTTCAACAATCTCAAAATGAATACTCAAAATACAAAACTAAAACACAAAGAGAACAGAGTTTCCTCATTTCAGGCCATTGAAATTTAATAAAGTTATTTATTAATTCTGCCAGATCATGCTAGTAATGTAGACTAGACTTATACATTACTACGAATCAAATGGAAGTTTCAATGCTTTTTCTGAGTTAATTATTCCATGAGCATTCTGGTTTTCTGGTGGCCCTATTCGAACAGTAGTCATAACTCATATACGCTTTCCTGTATCTCAGCATTTTCTTTCTCTCCTCATTATTGAGCTTCCAGAATTTGTTCCAGAAATACTTTTTCGAATTACATTTCGAAACACCGTTGACTTGAGCCGGGCAAGCATTGAAATTGAAACCTTCATAATGAGCAATGAAGGGAGCTTGAGACCAATCAACAACTCCTGCCCAATCTGCATTCCATATACTTGCCTCTATGTGCATAGGCCTCCATGGATAGTCCACTCCATGTTTTGCATAGTTCTTGAACTCTCTAATGGGAATTCCATCCACGTAGAACCTAAAATCACATAAAAAAAATACCTTTAGTGTGTCACGTATGGCAAGTTCGCGCATGAGCGAGCCCTTGGTTTCCATATGGTTCCCCCATCAAGCTAGCACGAAAAGTAATAATTATGGAACTAGCACAGATTTTGGTACACGAATAATGCAATTCGACCACGGAAGTGCTAAATACCAATCTATGTGGCATTGGATCCCTTGCATTTGATTGGTTAATGTAAAGTATTTACAATTTTTAACCAAATGAATACAATGGACCCCAGTGTCACATAGACTAATGCTTAGCACCACTAGGACTTGATATATTATATTAGCACCAGTGATGTTTAATTTTAGTCTATATTACAACAGCACTTACCTGGTTCTTACCCATTAAAAGTAAATGTGACAGTAACCTATTGTCACATGGACGGTTGATGGGTAAGCATAGCTTATAAATAGCATTATTCTTAATTCATAAGTTCAATTAAATAAAAAGATTTAAGGCCCATTTAATACGATATGTGATGTCACCTACAGATAGCATTATTCTTGATACTCTGATATAAACTGTATAGGTATCGGGAAAAAATCTACGAAACAAAAGAGAATTGAAGTGAAGAAAAATCATTACACAATCTGATAGTGATTCCAAAGAATTTCATAAGTGTGAAAATCTTGAGAAGGATTAAACCAAAGACGGAAGCTTTGTTCCCTGTGCCCTCCATCATTGTCATAAACATTTGTTTGTACTGTTCCGTTAGTACCCAAGAACTCATAATCAAGCTCAAAATGATTTCCTGGGTCCTGATTATCTGGTGCAGATGTTAACTGCCAATTTACATGCAATTAAAAAATGTATATAACAAATATATATGTCTAAAAAAAATTATTAAAGAGAACATTATTACATAAAAGGTTGTAACAATTCCTCCTGTCTTTCTGTCTGGTATCTTCATTCTTATGCGAAACAGCCCGGATCCGTATTCCAATTTGGACCTAAATCCAGCCCCTACATATGTCCATAAAAATCATTAGACCATTAAACTTTATATGCACGTTTTCATTTTGTCATGTAGTTTGCTCATATTTTTCTATTATTTTTTTATGGTATTTTTTTGTAAAAGATGACAAAGTTGTCTATTTGGAGAACAAATTATCCAAACTAAACATATACAGATTTAAGCTTATATATTTAAATTAGATGCTTGTTTACATAGTTTACGCGAACGATTGCATTCCTACATTTGAATTTCGATGCATGCTAATATAAAACGGATTGCATAAAAGAAAAAAAAATTAACCTGAGGATTGATCTATCAGAAGTTGCACCTCGGTTCCTTGGGGATTAACCGTAAGATGATTGATTCCCCATAGAGGAAAATAGGTTCGATTGAAGAGATTTGCTGCTCCATTTGCATTTTTGTATAAAAACCCGAGAAGAATAGTAAAGACAATTATATTCAATAAAGCCATTAAGGAAAATTAGAGAGCAAGCAATTGCAATTTATATAAATAAGTAGAGGGCTTTGAGAGCTTGATGAGGAATTATATGTATGAATGTTTGTATGTATACAACTGGATTATATAAAGATCCTATTAGGTATTGCAATCAAAGTTAAAATTATTAGGTGACAATTAATCTTGTTCTAAGGTGACTCAAACGAGCTATTAAGTTGGCCAATCGAAAATATGTGTGGATAAGTACCCGACGTGTAGATATTGAAATTTTTTAAATAAGTATTAATGTGCCTTTTAAATATGGCCCATTTACACCCATGATCCAGACTCGGGTCCTAAGCCTGCGCACATCACAAAGGTTGCATAAAGTGGAAATTATACCTTTGGTTGTTTTTCAAGTTTGCATTTCATAAATATGATTTTAAGTTTCATCTTTCATAATTCAGGTTCTAATTAATTATTTAATATTTACTAAGAGGGTGTTTGGTAGGGATTAAAGTGCTTGTTTGGTAGAGATTTTTAGGGAAAGAATTGATTTTTGAATAGTGATTGATGGGAAATGTGTGGTTGAAAAAGAAGAAAAAATTATTGATGTGATGGAAAATATTATTTTATTGAAAAATGTGTTGTTGAAAATGAGAATTGATTTATTGTAAAATTTGAAAATAAAAAACAAACAGGCCCAAAATTAGATTTTTAGTAGATTGTGATAGAAGTTTTTGAAATGTGTGGTTGAAAAAATGTGGGACCCATGGAAGATGTGGTTAATATTGATTGTTTGACTTAGACTTAGATTAAAATCAGATTTTAATCCGACCCAAACAGACCTAAATAAATTTATGATTAATAATAAATAAAAAAATAATTATACATTAATCTCTCTATCTCATGCGCCCTTTCTCATCTCCCTTCTTTCTTCTCTCTCTATCCCCGCCCTCCACCGGAAGACCATCGTGAGTGCTGCCTCACAACAGTGTCCCGTCGCTGAGTGTGACGCTCACATCACTGTTGTGAGGCAGCACGCAAACAAATACGGTATCGCTGCAAGCATGAAGCAACGGTGAATGACTATCATAATTGTTAGAATTTGGGTATGACTGAATTCCTTACTAAAGTAATTGAAAAATTCTAATTGAAGTGCACGTCAAAAAATAATTCA